CTTCCTGTGATTGGCCTCTGATGAAAAAATTAAATATTCTAAAATTATGAAGGTGAACATGCTTAAAATATACTTTTCTAATGCACTATTTAGCCTCTTAAGCTATAAGAAGTTATATTTCAATATTAGTTCTTGGCAGACTAACATGTAATCTGTCATCCTAAAAACATTGATAATGAACAATGAGACCCATAGCATTTGTAAAAAACAGATTGCTTTTGTAATGCTGTAATGAAGGCTTGTAGGTCCCATACAAGTAAAAGGACCATGAAATCAATAATAATAATAATAATAATAATAATAATAATAATAATAATAATTGTTAAAAATGTTAAGAAATATAGAATATACTTTGCTGCTTCTATTCATGATTATCCTATTGTTTATGTGGGTTCTGAGAAAGAGAAGGTCACATATATAAAAGTTCATCAGGAAAGAGGGAATTCTGGGTTATAAAAATTCTTACAGCAAATATCCTTAGAAGCACTCTAACCAGTGTCCTATAAAATACCCATATTCCTTTGTTATGAATGTAAGTCAAGAGATGCTTCTTAATCACCTCCTATTTTGAAAATATTCAAATTTCTTGTATACTCAATCGTGATATTTATAACTCTAAAAGCAATATTTCTGCTATCATCATTTGAAGTACTTTCTCTGTGAGAAGCCAAACATTGGTAGCAAGTGAGCTTATACATGGCTCCTTTTGGCTGGAGTCTTGGAAGAGAATACGTGTAAGATTGTCCAGGTGTTTGCAGAAGGCAGAGTCCCCTTGCGATAGGTGTTAATGTCGTTTGTGATATTTTACAGTAAGGGTACATCATCCTGAGAGAGTGTTAGTGCCACGCGCAAGGCAATAGAGCCCACCAGGCAGTTTCATGAGTAGCACATGTCCTTGAGAGGCAGAAAGAGCATATGGCTTCTGTTTACTGGTGGTATATGTGGCTCCTGACTCTAAGCCCACCAATGGAGTGTGTTCTCCCTTGAGAACTTGACACAGTAAGGCTAACAGAGAGAAGTGATCCAAGTCTGATCATGTAGAGGATGATGAAGAGATACTAAGAAGATAAGGAAAATTAAATGATGTCTCAGGAAACAAACACAGGCGATCTCCAATCCAGAAAACATTTGTACCATATAGTTACTGGTTTTAGAATCAACGAGGCTACAGTCTGTCATCAAGACCTGTCAATGAGTTTCCCTATGAGAGCTTGGACAATGTTGCCTAAATTTTCAAAGCCATTCTTCATGCTTGAAATAAGGAATGAAGAAAAGCTTCTGAAGCTGCTGTGGGGATTAAATTACATAATTCAAGTGTAAAATCCGAAGCGACATTAGCACATGCTCCCAATTCAGCATTGCTAACAATTACCATTCTGGCTGAATGCATTTGCCTGTGAGGAATTCATGATTATCCTATTGTTTATGTGAGTTCTGAGGAAGAGAAGGTCACATATGTAAAAGTTCATCTGGAAAATAAAGCCAGGAATTTAACTAAATGCAGAGGTATAGATGGGAGCGTTTCGGGGGTGCACATTGAAGGATGCTGTAGTGAGGTGCTAGAGTGTCTGCAGACAGGCATGAGGCTGTGGTAAACTCTGAGTGGAATAGAAAACTCAGTATCAACGGAAGTGAAGCACCACGACAGAGTGTGTTTCCAGGCATCATCTGGCACTGAAATAGCTAGACACCTCGTTTCCCAGATCTCCCTTGTTTTCGAAGAGTAGTAGAATATGCCCAAGGTCTCCTCTCTCAAATGCATCCTTCCCACTCAGTACAAGGTTCCAGGAATATAAATGTCTTTGCCTATGGCAGCCATAAAAAAAAATCTTTCTGTTGTGTCTTGTAGCACACACAGAACATTTGTCTAACTAACATTACTGCTCTGCCAGGTGCCACTTTGTGGACACTGATTCATCACAGTTACCTCCTCACTGAAAGGAAGGAACAGAGCATTTAGGAATCCATCTACCTTGGGAAGGGCCAATTTGGCTGTTAGAGATTTGTTTTCCTTTAGATATGACAAAGGCTAAATAAATGATCAGAGTCATTTTTCCCCATAGCAGCTCATTGTATTCATTGCTTCTCTTTTCTTTCTTTTACTCTTCTGTTATACATAACATCCTGATTGCAGTTTTCCTTCCATCCCTTCTTTCCAGTCGCTCCCTCCAACCACCCCTCTCTCCTGGATCTACTTCTCCATTTCTCTTCAGAAGCTAGCAGCTGTCTAAGAGACATCAACCAAACATGGCATGGCATAACAAGTTATAATATGCCTAGTTATACAGTAAAAAATTCAGTTCAGCTTCTGTCCTGAAACAATATCTATCATGCAAATATAAACCAGAAGTGGGAGAGCAAACACTATCAAATGCCTAGCTTTTATTTATTGTTGTTGTTGTGTGTGTGAGTATGTGTTTAATATAATGGTTGTGGCCCTGACTGGGTTGGTACTTTCATTGTACTGCTAGATATAGGCAGTTCTACACTAGGGTCCTGAATTCCTGGTTTATAGGTATAAACCGCCACATCTAAGAATGTCCATAGTGTGGTGCCATATTCCTTAAGGTGTTTTCTTCTCAAAACTAGCAGTTAATTAATGTCTATTTCTTTTAAGGGGCTTTTAATACATAAGGTTGAAAAATAAACCTTGTAAACCAGGTCATTCATTAGATCTCATACATGTTGTCACCTAATCACTACCTATAGATTTTGTTAACAAGTCTATAAAGATAAAGGAATAACATTTAGGAAAGATAAGTGCCCCTATGCCCCTGGTTTGGCTATGAATCTCAGCTTCTGGTCCCATACCCTGCTGGGTAGATTCTTTCAGAGGCCCACTGTGGTAGGTTCCTGTCCTGTTTCCTGTCTTCTCCTGCTTTCAATATCTATACTGTTTGCCCTTCTGAGTGAGAATTAAGCATCTTCCCTAGGGTCCTCCTGGTTGTATAGCATCTTTAGGTAATAAAAATAATAAACAAATGAATAAATAAATAGAAAGCTAAGTGCTTATTTGGAGGTTCTAGCAGAGGAGCTACTCTTATACCCTTGAATGAAGACCAGTCCTCCTCTGTTCAGGAAGGTCCTCCTCTTTGACTGAGCTCACAGTTTCGGGAGGGATGTACATGGAGAAGTGAGGGAGAAAGGGGATATCTGCCTAGCCAGACAGATCAACCAAATCAACCCTGGTGATCAAAGGTGTGACAGATGTCACAGCTGTACACCCTCATATCCATTCTCAAATTCATATGAAAAAAACTCAAAATCCAGATTTGCTAAAACAACCCTGTACAATAAAAGATCTTCTTGTGGTATCTTCATCCCTGATCTCAGGCTGTATTATAGTGCAACAGTAATAAAAATGGCATGGTATTGGCATAGAAACAGCCTAGTGGATCAATGGAATGGAATTGAAGATTCAGACATAAGCCCACCACCTACAGATACTTGATTTTTGACACAGGAACCAAAACGATATGAGGAAAAAAAAAGACAGTATCTTCAACAGAGGCTGTCTCTGGCATGAACTTGGTTACCTGCTCTTGGATCACCTTCCCCAGATGAGGTGGCCTTTCTTTCTAGGCAATAGTCAAAGAGGGTCCAGACAGTCCTGATGAGACCAGATACGCTAAGGTCACATAGTAGGAGAAGAGGACCTCACCTAACAGTGGCCTAGGGGATGGACATAAAGGAGGAAGAGGAAGGAAGGGTTTGACTGAAAGGAGATGGTAGACAGCCATGATAGAAAGTGAAAAATTTGTAATAAATAATAATCATTTTAAAAATTAGAAAAAAGAAAGCTAAGTGCTCTCGTAACTTATATGCAGAAAGGATTTGTGACTAAACTAGTTTTCTCTGTGATTTTCTCCTTTCATTCTGAGTTGACCTTTAATTGTTATATAGATGTTACATGGTGTCACTTAATTTATTTAACATGATAAAAAATTTCCATATCAAAATGTACATAGATAAATAGCATCTCTTTAATGTTTTAAGATGTTTTGATGAGAAGAATGGAAACACCATTCCTACTTCCTGATTTCTTCAGTAAATTCCTAATATCAATAAACCATGAGTTTATCTTTATGACAAAATACTTTAGAATTCTATTTTAATGTTGCTGTTTGATATTTTTGGTCAGATTACTAATCTCTAAATAATAATCTGTTGAGAGATTCTTTTGTCGTTGTCACTTGCATCCTATACCTACCTAACTCCTGCATCTGTAAAAATTGGAGATATCCAGGTTGTTTTGAATTTTTGTTTGTTTTTTTTTATTTAATAGCAATTTTAAGAACTAAATATCTATAGAACATCACATAAATATTAAGGCATATAACATTCGACATGATGTGGCATTTTACAATTGCTTGGATGGCTTTGCCTGTGTGGTTTTGATAGATGAGGTACCAGTTATTATAAGATTCCTTTACTCTCTAAATTGAAGAGACAAATGTCACATGAGAAACCCTCAAAGATATTAGAAAACGTCAAAATCCTTTGAAAACTTGGGGATATTGAATCCATCTTATATGGCCACATAAAAGATGAGTAGGCTTCTAAACACTGGGTTCCCATGTGTAATAAATAATCAGAATCAGAATTTAGTTCTACATTAATTCTTACTGCCTGCTATGCCAGTTCTTTATGCTGTAGGTTCATATGAACATGTGTTGCACACTTGTAGAAGACAGAAGTCAAGGTCACCAAACTTCTTCAATCACTCTCCTCCTGATCTTTTGAAAGAGAGTCACTCAATGAACCTAACACTTACTGATTGGCTTCATTGACTGAAGTCAGCCATGAGGGTTTGTGTGTCTCTGCTACCCAAGTGCTGTGTGACAGAACTCTGTGTGACCATACACAGATTTATTTTTCACCTAAATGTTGAGGTGAACTCAAGTGCTGTACCTACCAAGCTATCTCCCCACATCCCCTGTCACATTTTAATTTTCATTCATATATATATATACACACACATTATTTTAGTGACAATAAAGTTTGTTTTAAAAGGAGTTTATTTTCCCTCTTTTAAGGCCTCGATCATTTTCACAACCTCAAATTTAAGATCATTATCATGTGCTTCCAGTGTGACAGTATCTCCATGGCTTGCTGTGGTAGAATAGTTGGTTTCTGGCTGTGTCATATGGCTCTGGGTTTTGAATGGCTGAGCAACATTTAAAGAAATGCTCAATGTCATTAGTCCTCAGGGCAACACAAATCAAAACAACTCTAAGATTCCATTTCATACCCATCAGAATGGCTAAGATGAAAAACTCAAGTGACAGCACAAGCTGGTAAGGTTGTGGAGAAAGGGGAACACTCTTCCACTGCTGGTGGAAGTGAAAACTTGTACAACCACTTTGGAAATCAATCTGATAATTTCTCTGAAAATTGGGAATATCTCTCTCTTAAGACCTAGCTATACCACTCCTGGGTATATACCCAAAAGATGCTCCACCATAGAACAAGGACATTTGCTCAACTATGTTCATAGTGGCTTTATTTGCAATAGACAGAAACTAGAAACAATCTAGCTATCTCTCAACCAAAGAATTGATAAAGAATGTGGCTAGCTCTCTGTACCCTTGCGTAATCAAATGTTGGCATACTTTTTAAAAAAGTCTTTTCTTTATATTTCTCATATCTCTTTCTTTCTGCTACAGCCCAATTTCTTCCAACACCCCAACACCAGGTAGGAGAAATAAATGATTAGTGGGAGAGGGCGCACAGTTCTCCTAGCTGCTTCCTGTTGGTTAGGGTCATCGGGCTCGTAGGAGCCAGTCCAATCCTTGCTTCAGGAGATCTCCAACTTTTTATCTCATTGCATCAGCAGCAACCAGGAGTTACAGAGAGGAGGGAACCAGCAGCAGCCTCGTTCTTTCTCAGAGCTCCTCAACACTCCCTGGGCTGTGGCACTGATTCTCTCTCCAGTGTCCTAAGATTTAAACTGTCTTCAGCTGTCAAAAGCTCCTCTCAGAGCCCAAAGGTTTGCTGCTGTGGACTATCTGAATCAGTTCCACATCCCACACCTAGGATTAAAAGAAAAAAAACATGTTTATAACATCAACAATAGAAGATTATGAATGTATTCTCACAGAGTAAGTGAACTCTGCCTTCTTCCACCAGCACCATAAACCTGAACAGAGATCATTGTTATAGGCTATTTTGGTCCACATTGTACTGCGAAGTATCCAGAAGTACTGTATTTAATTCTGTGTAGAATGTAGGTAGCAGAGAGACCCTGCATTAAAACTGCAGAAGCACCTAAGCAAAACTGCTTACACTGGTACTAGGAACCATAATTATTTGCAGTGTGTGTGTGTGTGTGTGTGTGTGTGTGTGTGTGTGTGTGTGTGTG